GTTGAAAATCATGTTATTTACTTAGGTTATGACATACCTTTTAAAACTTGCGTGATTCAACCATTAAAATATGAGTATAATAAAATTATATTTAATTCAGCTAGTTCTTACATACTATATGCATAATTACATTTTTAAATTTATCTACTTTTAATTTTAAACTAAAAAATAATAATTTTTTTATAAGTGTATTATATATAGTGTGTTAAATAAAAAAATATAACAATTAGTGTCCTATTTATGCATTGTGAATTTGGTATTGTGGATCAAAAAGCTCTTTCATATTGCACTTGATTAAAATTGTTAACTTATTATAATTATGATTAAATTTATTTTAATTGACATTTTTTATAATTTAATGACTATATTAATGTATGACACTTTCAAAATATATAATTATCAAACAATAATAAAGTTTTTGAGGTAGTAGAATATTTGAAAAGCCAAAGCTAGAAAAGAATCTAGGGAAGAAAAGTCATTTTTGTAGTTGGCTTGTTGGAGATGTGATAATCTGAGATAAAAAAAAGATAAGTTATGATACCATATAATAATCCATTAGTAACAACACATTTCTATCCAAAAACACTAGCATACCAAAAAAAGGATATCCATTACTGGAATATAATGACTAGTTTTCACATATGACAAACTCGATTTTTCTTCAACAAAACTAATGGAGAAGTTCCATCCATCTCCAAGGAAAACCTTATCGAGATTCAACCATAAGCACGGAAGGAATGCCTCCATCTTGGAATCTTCCTACGTTGCCCTTATTCAATTTCATCTCCCTGTAAAGGAGCTCAGAAAACACAACATGGTTATCATGAGTCACAAAAATCAATCTTGGAAATGAAGCCAATGTAACAAACATTAACTGGTATTTAACAGGGCAACAACCAATGCCATTTGACATTTGAGAATAACGAGTTGGTATACAAATTATGTACTAGGTTCACAAATATATTCAAAAGCTATTTCTCTCTTTATTTTAATTTTTAGGAGAAGAAAAAATGTAAAATTATCCATTGATATTGGAATAACATGCTTTTCCAGTAACAATTAAAATTAGATTTTACAGATGAAATCTTTTGCTTGGAAGCAACAAATAAGTAAAACTTGTGCATAGTAGAATTAATCCTTCTAAAATGTGACTGAGAAAATGTGGAAAATGAATGCCCAATTTGATTAGACATGGATTAATACCTACTAACCAAGTCATAACAAAGCTGCCTGACCTTTTTTATCTCTTTTCAACTGCATCTCCATAAAGTTTTGGGAAACAATACTCCAAAAATTTCAATTTGTATTTAGGATAGAAAATAGTAACTATAGCCAAGATAGCATTAACCTTAGTCCAATACTTGCCAAATTTTGCTTTCATTTTTTATTCCATTGATTGAATAGCCTCACATTCACAATCAAGCCACTCTCTCAATGCAATCTTAATTTCAAAAATCATTGGAAAATAAAGATTGGCCATTAGTTTCATAAAAAACAATTTAGTAATTTTATAAAATAACTTCAATCATTCACAAACCTCCTTTACCCTTTTTCCAATCCTCTTCAAGTGGCACCTGATCATATAGTGGTTCCAATTCTTTCGTGCAAGAAAAGACATCTTTATAACCCAATGCCCCAA